CTCTTTCTAGTTTGCTCGCATCTTGTTTTGAAGTGTGGTGCTCCAAACTGGACAGTACTCTGGGTATGGCTTTGCTAGTGCTCAGAGTGGAAGTGTCACTTCTCTTGTTAATACAGCCCAGTATGCAATTGGCAATTTTTTGCAGCAAGAACATAGTATTGGTTTATATTCAGCTTGCAGTTCATTTATAATGGCCAGATCTTTTTTCTGCAGTACTACAGCCTAGCCAGTCATGTACTTGTGCAGGTGGTTAATCTATCCCAGGGATGGGCAATTATTTGGAGTGGAGGACCATTTACCGAGTTCTGGCAAGCTGTTGAGGGCTGCATGGGTAGCTCCGCCCCTTGACAGGAGCCCTGGCCCCTCATCGCCATCTAGGGATCGGAAGTCCCGCCCCTAACCTCTGACTTTTGCTGACAGAAGTCCCTCCCCTTGCCCCTGTAAGTACTGCTTTGGGGAAGAGGGTTTGCTATCCTAGAAATAGAAAAAAACCCAAATTATGTACTAAAAATTAAATACCCATAATAATATATTTTAATTTAATTGACAAAATTATTTTTATCTTGATTTGTGTGTGTTTATGCTATATATGAAGAAGTGATTGCATAATAACTCAAAATGCAGTCTTATTCTTGTATAATGTGTGGGGTGTGCAGGGGTGTCGGGGGGTATGGGTAGCTGGGTGTAGGATTTGTGGGGAGCTGTATTTGTGGGATGTGTAGAGGAGGGTGTGGCTGTGGGGTCTACAGGAAGGGTTTTAGGGTATATGGGGTGTGCATGGGAGCCCCCTGTGCGCTTCCCCCTGAGCTAGTCAGCACCCGCCACCTCTCTGCAATAGCCCAGATCCTGAGCACCCTGGTGCATCCGCTCAGATCCAACTTTGGGGGAGACTTACTGGGCTTCTGGCGCCCTGTGCTGGGTCCCTGCTGGCTTGTGCTGCCCCCAGCGGCCTTGGCTGTTCCTCCCCGTACTGCCCCCTGGGCTGGCCAGGCCCTTCCCGGACAGCCCCCAGATTCCTGGCAGCCACAAGACCCCCCCCAGAACTCAAAAGCAGTTGCAGGCCCAATCCTGGTCATGGTGGAGCCTCATTGCCCATCCTGGGGCCAGGGGGGCAAGTTACCGGTGGACCGCTGAGCCCCTGGTGTGTGGGGAGGCTCAGGCCTTCTCCCCCCCACCCCCATGAGTTGGCGCCGCCCCCCGAGGCTATCCATAGGGGCAGGGGGGGGGCCGGGCCCGCGCCCCCAAGCTCCACAGCTGCTTTTGAACTGCAGTGCCCCCTGCCACTGCCAGGAGGCCGGGGGCTGGTGGGGAAAGGCCTGTCCAGCACTGGGGAGTGCCCAGGGCTGCTGGGGGGTGGCATGAGCTGACGAGGACACGGCATAGGGTGCTGAAAGCCCAGGAAGGAGGCACAGAATTTTTAGGTCGCACACCTGAGGCTTGGGACAGCAACAGCCCAGCTGCCCCTCCACACAGGAGGCCCTGGTGGGCGCTGCTGCCCTGGTGGGGAGGCCCAGCCCACTCCTACAATGCAGGGGCCTGGTGGCCCACCAGCATCTCGCCTCCCAGCCCTGGGACAGGTGGGGAGGCTCCGCCAGGAGCAGAATTGGGCCCGTGGCTGCTTTTGTGCTCTTAATCCTGCCACCCTGCTGGTGTGAGCCCCGCGTTCTTTCCCAGCTGTTGCTGGCTCCAACACACCTGGTCGCTCCCAGCCCGGCCCCGCCACCCCAACCCCACAGTACAGGCTGGGACCAGTGTGCACAGCCCCGACCCCGTGCTTGCACGTCTGAGTGAAAGGATCCTGGCTATCGCTAGCTCCTGTGCGCCTGCTCGCTCTTTGCTGTGTGCCCGGCCCAGCCTGGCCCTGAGGACTAGAGCTATCACCCGTGGTCCTCCCTTGCTTCCCTGTCTCTCCGCTCTTACCTGAATTTCCCGTGCTGGTGCAGGCATGAACAGTACCACGGTCCCAGGCCAGAAGCCTCTGTTAGGCAGGGGCTTCCAGCTGTGGGGCCAGGGTTGGGTGGGCCTCGCTGTTCCAGGGTCCTGGCTTCCCCTGGGTCTTACTGCCCCTGGTTCCTGTCATCTTTGACAGGAGCCAGGGGCAGGTAAGTACTAATTTTTAATTTATTTAATTTTTTAAGGGGCCCCATGGGCCAGATGCAATGACCTGGTGGGCCGGATTCAGCCTGCAGGCTGTATTTTGCCCACTCCTGCTCTATCCTAATTGAAGAACTTTGCAGTTGTCCTTATTGAATTTAATTTGATTAATTTTGAACAATTTTTCCAGTTTACCAGGTTCCTTCTGAATCCTAATTCTGTAGTCTCTAGAGTGCCTGCAACTCCCCCTAGTTTAGTATTATCTGCAGATTTGCTGAATGTACACTCAATCCCATCCTACACATCAGTAATGCATGCATTTATTAATATTCCACAAATCTAGAGTCCCCAACTGAGTTTAGGCTCCTGCTGTACTAGGCACTATAGCACAAAATCATAAAAAGAGGCCAGCTCTTATCTCTGCCCTGAAGAGGTTCACTAAATAGACAGATCAGACTGTCAAAAGATGGAACGAGAAACATGCAATTTGCACAAGGTCAGCAAAGAATTTTTGTTTTTCCCCAATGCTGTATCCACTAGACAGCACTGCCTCTCTAACAAACACCATGCCTATGTAATATGTCTGTGTTTTGGGATATAAGTAGAGTGACCATATATCCTGAATTGGCTGGAATAGTCTTGGATTTCATAGGCTGTCCTGGCTGGTTGGTCTAAATTGAAGTAAAAGTCCTGGATTCAGTTGCTGGAGGCAGACGCTGCTGCCATCCACAGTGCCTGGGCTGGCTTCTGTTGAGCAGCAACTGGGGGTGGGGGCAGACTGGGTGGGCACTGCTTCTCCTGCCAGGGGTGGGATCGGCAGCATGGGCGGGGTGAAGGGACTGGGCCTGGGGCTTGGACACCTGCGTGGGGTACGTCAGGATGGCCACCCACTGCAAGCAGCCTCATGCTCTGCTGCTGCTTACGCCTGGGCTGTGTGTAGTGGCTCTGGGAGGCTGGCACCAGCAAGAGAGGGGGGCTGCTCCCAGCCAGGTTCAGCTTCTGCATGCAGGGGATGGAGCCTGACCGCTGGCCTCCTTGGCTCCACCATCAGGGTTCCTGGGAGCTTTGGGGTTGGGGTGGGGGGGTGTGCGTATACCTGTGCATAAGAAGGGGGTGGGGGGAAGGGTGTGTGCACATGCATGTGTGGGGAGTCTGGGGAGAGGGGAGGGGGGGGTACATGTGCGTGCATGCATGTTGGTGTCCCTGTCCCAGATTTCCTTTACAATAACGTAATTGCCCTAGATATAACTTT